GATGGCTCAAAGGAGGATAATTTGGTGGAGGGAAGAAGGATAAACTGTTCACCTGCCCTGGGACAGAAACTGTTCAAAGGTCCAGACAGTCAGAAGAAGGAAGCGTGACGGCAGGTGGGAGGTGGGGAGGTGGCTGGTGGGTGCTGCTGCTGTGTGAGTGAGCTCATGTGTGAGTGTGTGCGTGTGTGTGCATGCGCGCGAATGATCATGCATGGATGTGAGCTTGTGTGAGTGTGTGTGCATGAGTGTATCTTTGTGAGTGTGGGGGAGGAAGTGTGAGGTAGGAGAGTGGAGAATGCCCCTGAAAGGAATGTTTTCAAGCCCCTTCCCTTTCTGCCACTCCACTCTGTGAAGAGCAAACAGAGCGGCTTGTCACCCATGGAGAGGGGAAGTCACATGGGGGAAGTGGCTTTAGAGGGGTGGATTTGGGGAGTGACTGAATTGGATAGCTGGGTGTGACCTAGACCTTGGGGAGAAGAGGTCAACGGCAGGGAGCCTGGGAGGAAGGGGTCGCAACCCTAGAGCAGGTGAGGGAGAGGCTAGCGTGGATTCCCTCAGCCTGTGGAGCCTGTCACCTGAGGCCAAGGGAACCTCCGCCCACAGGGGATTATCCACTTGACCAGAGTCGCTGCCATCTTTCTTGGAAGGAGCAAGGTCTGCGCTGCCCTTAACCCTCTGCCGGGAGCACCCCCGACTCACCTGCCTTCCCTGTCTGGCCCTTCCTCAGGACTCGGGAGGGTGCAAGGGGCAGGCCTGCATTTGAATTTGTACAGACTAGAAACCTTTTCAGTGTCATCTCAATGACGACAAAGTTGATGGTAGTATCGGGGTGTCAAGGGAATCCCCCTTACCCTTTGGGGTCTTCTAGGCTGGCAAATAATCAAACAAGCACCAGACAGATTGGTAAGAGAGAGGGTCATTTTAAAGTGTAACGATAACGTGTGGTCTGTGCACATGGGGGATGTCCAGTAGGACCGAGCAGCTGCCCATGGGACCTTGGACTCCGCCTTTCACGGCTTAGCTTAGGCGAGGAAAGTTGAAGAAGAAAGGGGGCATCAGAGCATTTGCTGGGGAAAACAAAGGTTCTTTTTTTTTTTTTTGCCTTGTCAGTAAGAGAGACATAAGGGGATTAGGGCCTCCTGGTTGCACAGCTTCTGGGGTGGCACGAGGACCCCACCTTCCACATAGAGGCCCCTCCTTCCTACCTGAGATTGCTCTAGGTGGTTACTTCCCAGAGTCCTGCCATGTTTGTGATCCAAGGTCTTAGCTTCTGTTTCTCTGCTTTTTGCATCGCCCTAGGTTTTGATTCAGTTTTCAAGACCTAAGGCCTCAGCCCTGGCAGGGGGTGATTGTCCCAGGGCAGTTCAATGCGCTGTCTGGAAGGACCCGGCCTGCACCAGCCATGGGGACTTCTCAGCGGGGAGCAGACCCCAGGGAGCAGGTCTGGGAGGGCCTCAGCATTTGGACGGGGGTTTGGACAGAAGCTGCTGGGGTAGTCTGACGAGATGCCACTTGTTTTGTCTTGAAATGATAGAGCGAGTATTTGTTTGCTCTAAAGAAAATTAAACTGCAGTTGTTAGATGAAATAGTATCTTAAACCTTAGGAAGCCAAAATGGCCAGATCTTAAAAACTGGTTCAGCTAATGAAACATTTATCGTTAAGGTACAGTAGAGGAGAGAAGGGGAGGGGAGGGACCTAGAGAAGGTTCAGCCACCTAGAGCTGTGATTCTGGATTCCAGATGGATCCTGGAGGCCTTACATGACTGCAGAGCTTCGAATCTCTCCAAGTCCCTGGAACTATGACCTTCTTAGCCTGTCATGTGCTGTGCTGCAGAAGCTGTGCATTCCGTGGAAATGGCCCTCTGGAGTTGTCTCTTTTCCTGGCCTAGTGATGTGCCCTAGGATTCTCTCGGGGTGCTCAGTCCCAAGGGCAGTCCTCCCCGGTGTCTATGTTGCCCGTGTTTCGGGGTACTGTGTTTCTGCATTACGTCATGTCTACAAAGTGCCCACTGTGTCTCCTGCTTCTGGTGAGAAGAAGAAAAGCAAGACCTTTTAGGTTTCTCGTTGGTTTAGTTGAAAACCACGGCTCTTGAGATGTGACTGAAGAAAATGGCCTGGTCGTGGGCCAGTGTGGTACCTGAGCATGGCTCAGGCAGGCTGGGAGAGGCCCTAGAGCGGCAGTTAGGATGTGAGCTAGGTTGGATGTAGTAAATGCACTTTTCATTCTTTTTTTCCAACTACAATGCATTTGTCAGCTCACAACCCTCATAAAGAAGGAGCATCTGTGTTCTTGTGATTTCTTAGCTTGCTTAGCTACGCACCTTCTTATGCAAATTTAATTAACAATTTAAAATATGCATAATACAGTATATTAAGTTGTAGACATAAATTATGTGATGTAAAATTTAAATTAATTTTTCATTAATGTTAATATACTGTAAATGCATGATGAGGCATTTGAACTTTTTCATTAGGGAGCTTTATAGATAGTATGAGCAATTGTTTGAGAAAATGTTGAATTTGAATTAAATGATCCAATTACTTTTGTCTTGCAGAAGCAAGTTTTATAGTTTAGGGTACATTTTTTTTCTTAAGTGATTTTAGTCTTTGTTTTAAAGATTTTTTAAAGGTAGGTTATAAAGATAGCACAAATTACCTACCAGAGCTATTGACAAGATAAATGATAGGGTTTGTGATTTCGACCTTTGCTTTAAAAAAGAAAAAAAGGAAATCTGACCTTCAAATGCTGAAATTTTTCACAGCAGCATTTGAGTAACAGACTCCACCAGCCACACAATTGAAACTGTATGTGCAATATGTAGTATGTATGGTATAAGCCACACAGTAATCAGAAATACAATCAAAATGCATTTAACTTTACAACATGAAAATTGAATATAAGTCAGAAATTTTGGCACGCAATTGGATGAAACAGCGTTCAGAAGATTAAAGACTAGCGCCTCATTTCACGGCGGCACATGTATTCCATTTTGACTAAGTTCAGCAATGGTGGTGGTTAAAGTGTTTATGTCCTTTGACCCACTTCTGAATAGCTCTTCAAAGGAAATAATTCAAAAGCAGATTTATGCACAAAGCTGTTAATTGTGCCATTGTTCATAATTTGAAAAAGCTAGGAACCAACCACACATCCAGTGATGGGGAAGAAGAAGACATTGTAGAGTATGCTTAATACAGAACAATACATGTAGACAAGAAAAGATTGTATAACCCTTAAAAGTTTTTGAAACTATTAAATGTGGGGGAAAGCTTGTGACATAATGCTAAGTGAAAAAAAGAATGTATTTACACAGTCTGACCTTAATTAGGTTAAAATGTTAGTGGTTCATTCTGAGAAGTAATTGTTGCTGTTTTATATTTCCCAAGTTTTCTAGGAAAAACACATGTTACTTTCATAATTGCAAAAAGATTCTTAAAAAAAGAAATCATGGTGGCTAATAGAATATTCAATAATTTGGCTTTTGTATGTTGGCTTGGGGAGCAGTGCAGGGGGCTGCAGGCTGAGAACCCACCACCAGGGGTTGTAAGAGGGGCTGGGGTCTGTCAGAGGGCTGTTTCTCCGGCCCCTGGAGAGGAGGGTCCTGTAGTCCTGCTCTCAGGGGGCCCCCCGATGTGCTTTGTTCAGTCATCCACCAATTCACCCCATCAGGAAGCCCAGTGACTAGCTTAGTCTTTGACGAAGTAATTGTTGTCTAATGTTGTCTTATAAACGTTATCTAATAGGTGGTAGACTATTATTTTTATTTTTTATTTTTATTTTTTTTCAAGATTTATTTATTTATGCATACAAGAGCTGGGGTACAGGCCAGAGGTGTGGGGGGCAAGAGGATTCACCTAGAGACAGAGCAGGGAACAGAACAGGCAGATCGATTGAAATACACTGCTGAGGGGAGCAGTGGGCGAGGCAGGAGAGGTCTGCTGCACCATGTGGGTAGCTCCCTGGTTGGCAGGGGGATCGAACTCCTGCTGCAGTGGCTGTGGACAGCTTCATAGGTTGTGTCTTAACCCCTTGCACCACCAGGGAGGCCCTGACTATTATTTTTAAACATGAGGCAGCAGTGAAAGGTTCCTGAAGGTACAAAGTAGAAACTGTAAATGGGACAACCTTGGCCTCCACCTCCTGTGTGCCCCTGTGGGGCTGTTGGGGAGCAGTGTGGATTTTCCTCTAGTCTTTGGGTTGTCCCCTGTGAATAGGTCATGAAATCAATTTAGTAGGGCTCCCTTTCAAAATAAAATTAAAATAGGTTAGAAAATGTCTAGTCTATTAAGTATAAGGCTTGGTTCTTTACATTTTTATTCAGGTATATGTATGATCTGAACTGTATAAAAATTTTTAAAACTGATTTGCAGTAAAAAAAAGAAACAGAAAACTCATAGTGAACTAGATTAGTGATTCTAAGTATGATTCTGGGAGATAGAAATGCCAACCCAGGGCACCCCCTCCAGATCTACTGAATCAGAAACTGTGGGTGGGACCCATACCCTGTGGCTCAGTAAGTCCCCCTGGTGCTTCCCATGCACACTCAAACCCGGGAACCACTGGCCCAACCTTGCTACTCCAGGTGTGGTCTTGAGTTAGCACCCGCCTCACCTGGCAGCCAGCTGGAAATGCAGATTCTCAGGTCCCATCCCAAAACTACTCAGTCAGAATCCACAAGCACCCCTGGGTGATTTGTGTGCATGTAAAGGTTTATTCAGGGTTGAGAAGCACTGATCTAAATCACAGATGTTTACAGGGGCTTAGTAAATCAGGCCTAGTTTTCAAACAAATCAGCCTAGTTTTCTCCCAAAAAAGAGTAGAACATTGTGGTGTAAGTTTAGACATTCTTCATTTGTTAAAAAACATCCTTTATTGTACCAGTTGGGATAAATAATAAACTCATCAGTTTACTGTAGTGACATCAATTTGTTCAAACAGATTTTAAACCCACATTGTAACAGAGTGACCCCCTCAATATCCACTTTTTCTGATCTCTTTTAGGACTTTATCAAGGAGCTGCTGTCACGGATAAGGGGCATGAGGAAACTGAGCCCCCCGCAGAAGAAGGCTGTATAATTCTGGTCCATGGGGGACTCCCCAGAGACGAAGAAGGGACCCTGGGACTCGGACTTCATGAAGACTTTTCTTAAAGAATACTTGTCCTTATGAGCAACTTTTCTGGGGGGGATCTATTATACATTTATTCGACAGTGTTCCTTTTTTTGTTTTTAAGGGTTTTCGTTAGTGTCATATTTTAATAGTAACAGGGTCACGACTGTGGCTTCAGCCTGACCACACGTCCAAGGATGGGCTGGGCTGGAGCAGGCACATCTTCTTGGAGAAATCAGAAGTTTAGGAAGGATGGTTTTCTTACACCTAGTTTTGGTAACATTTTTTTCTTCAGTTGTACATTTGACTCAGTTGTCTAATGTCCCTACTTGTATATATCTACAGACAACTAAGTTAATATGTAGATGTGAGTTTTATTTCACCCTGATGGAATTAACTTGTGGTCGTCCTTTTGCTGGAGGTCACGGCAAGTGTGTTTTCAAGAGGCCACTAGATATTCTTCGTGTGAGCGCTGCTGACCTTCAACATTCACTTTACGCACCAAAGTGAAGCACTCGGTGTATCCGTTATTTGAATGAGCTACACTACAGACATGTTGAGTTGGTCAAGGGCTTAATTTATGGACTTGATGTTATTTCATTAATTGGGATGCTTTGCCAGGTCATGTACTTATTGCCTCATTTGTGGTATTTTAAAGTTTAATGAACCCTTACTTTGAAGGACTATTTGGATTTCTAGAGAAATGCCCATGCTATCTGAGTGGAGCTTTGCAGTGGAAAAAGGAAGCGCTGTGTAGCAACTAACTCTGCTTTCAACCAAATACTGTGTATTGTTCTCTCTTCATGAAAGCACGTCATAAGGAAGTTAGCAAACTAAGTCTCTTCCTCCTTAGAAGTAGATTCTGGTCACTTCTGTGCCTGGGCAGCATCCAACCAGAGGGGGTGAGCTGAGTGTGCAGCGGGTGTGGAGGTGAGGAGGTGAGGAAGACATACCTCCTCGCCTCAAGAGTGGACACAGGAGCATTTGCTGGTGTGGAAGTGTGAGGCTCGCGTGTCTCACTTGTCTCAATAGCATACGGTAAAGACTCTGGCTCCTGGCCCTAATTCTGCACCCCGATCCCCTTGCCTGGTGCACCTGTCCTGTCCCTCTCAGTTACATCCCAGCTCCTTGGAGAAGGATCAAAATCAGATGGATGTGGGTGGGGGTCAAAGGTGAGAGCAGAAGCTCTTCCTTCCCTCCAGGAGGTGGCCACTGGCTCCCCACAGATACCCCACCCCCACCAGGTCCTAGGTGGCCCTGTCCGAGGACAGGGGTCAGGCATTTTATATCAAGGGTGCTCTGAACATATTTTATTTTTTAAAAGAACTATGTTTGTGAATTTTATGTATACTGGCAAGCTTTTGAAAATGTATTTAATTTTGTAATGTTTACCAATGGTTTATTTACAAGCTATTTACTCAAATAAATGGAGCTGCTTACACTCTGCTTGCATGTTTGCCTTGAAAAGTACGTTAACGTGATCATTTTGCTCTGTTGGTTCTCTGCCTTGTCCAGCTTTTCGTTTGGGGGGATTTCAGGTGGTATGAGCACAGGAGCTAGGACACCTTCCGGGCTGAGAAGGAAGAGAAACCAGCTCCGTGCACACGGCCCTGCCTGGTGTCTCCTAGGCCGTGATTAAAATTCCCTTTTGCTCACCTGGTCCCAATGCTCCAGATTTCAAATTACTAGAGATTGCAGTTGTTAAACACACATACACAAAAATACAGACCTTGCAGGATTTCCATTAGGCTTGACAAGCCCAGATTAGGATGGAGAAAAATGAACTTTTCCTCCAGAGGCCTTGGACGTACCCCCTAACATACTCCCCACCTTCTCTTATTCAGGCCTGGCATCACCTGACACCCCCAAGTGCTCAAGCCATAAACTTTGGCTCCTTGACACCCTGTGGGATAAATGAATTAATCAGGCTTTTTATGCCATCATCCTCTGTGGCTGTCACCTGTGGCCTTGACCGTGTTAACGCAGAAGTGGGTGTGGGGCACGTGTGCCTGATTGTGGACACCTGGCACATGGGTGCATGTGCCTGTGCAAGTGTGCAGACCTGTGCCTAGGAGGGAGGGAATGAAAAGACGGCATCACCCTGGGGATGTGCGGGGCCCTCAAGTTGCTGACTCCCTCCTGGCTGTTTGCCCTGCGTACTAGTAAAACTTGTGAAGACGACACCAAGGGCTCCAAAGTTCTCTTTTAAATTCTCAGAGCCAATGGCGAACCTACTCGGCCTGGGATGGTTGCAGAACACTCCCCAACCCAGCTGACCGCTGGCCCTCAGTCCCCAAGTTCTTTTCCACCCATAGCCCTCAGCTCTGTCCTTGGGGAAATCTTGTCTCCCCCTCCCTCTCTACTCAAAACCCAGACCCTTCTGCATTCATGACAAGGAATGGGACCCTGCCTCTCCCACCTCATCCCTTAGTTTTGCTCTACAGTCCATCCTACTGAATTCCTTGGGGTTTCTGGAACTTTCTTGGATTTTCTCCTCCAGGGCTTTGCTAAAGTGGTTGCCTCTTTCTGGAACATCCTCTCCGCTGTATCAGTGGCATCTGGAGAGCTGAATTTGATCCCCTCCTGTGTGTCCACAGTTTCCAGCCCTCATCCTGGGATGCATCCAGTGTGGGTCGTGTCTCCTCACCTGTGTGGCTTTTCTGTTAGATGCCAGGATCCTGGAGTTGGGACTGGGCCTTACAAATCAAGCATCTGGTCCTGTGCTTGGTCCCTCAAAGGAAGCAATATATGTTTGCCAATTGAATAAACAGGATAAAATCCTCTTCAAGAAAATTCCATTGCATCCTTCCCAGGTAGGATAGGGGTTCTTAGGCCTGATTATACATGTGAATCACCTGGGACACTTTCACCACTGACACCGAGGCCCTCGTCCTGTCCGGTGGAAGCAGAACCTGCAGGAGCAGAGCCGAGGCATTCTTCCCAAGTTCTCAGCCTGAGCTCTGCTGGCCCCTGGGCCACTCCTGTGTCATCAGCTCACCACGTTTATGCTGCTACAGCAGGTGGCAGCGCTGACATTGGCACACTACTTCTCATTTCATTTTCTCCTGGAGAAGCATGAAAGCACAGACCCGGGGAATGACTCAGAGTATCCAGATTCTAGTCCAGTGCTCAGGTGAACATTGAGAAGTCTGAGTTTAAACTTCATGGAGTGGCGTCCAGCTACAACAATCATCATAATGGTTCCCATTATCACCTTGCTAAATCCGTCCCTGCCTTATTTAATCCTGACATGAATCTTATGAGGTAGATGGCATTAATCTCATCTTATGGATGATAAAACCAACCCAGAGAGGTCGAGCTGCTTACCTGAGGTCACAGAGTTCACACAGCTAAGAGTCACACCCAGTCCTGTTTGACTCAAACTACTGGACCACTAGACTTTACAGCCTCTTGGAGGTAGATGCTGTCAGTTCCATGCAAGAGTGAAAACCTGGAAATGCGTCCAGTGAGAAGCACCCCTGAGATGGTTGGCGGGGCGGGGGGGGGGAGCGAGGGGGGTGTGCTGTAGCTGCATGGGATTGCTGGCCTGGATCTCTTGAGAACCCAGAGGGTCCCTGCTCTTGAGCTGAAACTCAGCCAACTGGTGCTGCTGCCCCCGTTTCCAGGCTCTTTTCTTCCCTAACAAAAAGCTTCTGGGCTTAGCAGCTGAGCACGGACTCGACTTTCATGCGAATCCTGAGAACTTGGGGAAAAGAGCAGCTCGAGCAAGGTGGTTTCAATTCCTGTTACACAGAGAGATCTGATTTTCACCAATCACCTCAATTCCCCACGAAAGTGTGTGTGCTGCCCAGGGCCACTTTCTCGTGATAGACAGAGTGATGACACCGCTCTTTCCAAGATGAGGTGGTTGGGAACCTGCTCCTTTTGAGCCAGGGCCATTTCACCAAAAGATACTGACTGTGGGGGCCACTGCCGAGGAGAGCAGCCAGTCTAGCCCACCACCTGCAGAACTGGGGAGGGGTGTCTCCTGGGGGTTGACCCTGTAGGGTGAATAAAGATGCTCAGTCTTTTGCGCTGTTGGCCTCTGTGGCTATCACCTGAGGCCTTGAATGCAGGAGGCACTTGTGAGTGTGAGCTTGGGGTACGCATGCTGAGGGTGGATGCCTGGAGTATGGTGTGGGCATGCGTAAGTGGGCACACCTGAGGCTGGAGGCGGAGCATATAAGGGCAGCATTGCGAAGGGCGGCAGGCAGAGGAAGGTGCCACAGAGAGTGGCGGTATGGCCACAAGAAGAAGAGACTGCGGGGTGACACCAGAGAGAGCCCAGAGAGAGCACAGATTCCCTGGGGGCTGAGAGGTCTCCCCTGCACCAGGTGGTCTCATTACAAGTGGTGTAGAAAGATCATTAAAAGCCTGAAAAAGCTGCTGAGGGCTCCAGGACTTTACCCGTCTGCCTGGATCCATAGAGAACCTGCCCTGTGCCTTCCTGCTGCTAAAGACCCCTTCTCCTTTCAGGATGCAGGAGCGGCTACAAGTGGAAGCAGACTTTGCCCTGAGGCTGAGTTCTATGCTGAGTCTGCTCTGGCCCAGCCCTGGACGAGTTTAGTGATCTTCACTGTCCCTCCAGTGCCAGCAGCCAGCCCTCAGGGTGACTGAAGCTTGGAGAAAGGCAATCCAGATGGCTGAGGGGCACAGCTGCCACATTTTTGCTTCTGAGTCAGTTCCTGGGTTTCCTCTGCTTGCTGGGAGCCGCCCCTGCCTGCGGTCACCTAGGGAGTGCTGCCCTCCTCCCTGTCTCGCCGTCCTCCTTTGACCCCTATTCTTGGGCCTTTGGGTGGTCCAAGAGGCATGGCGGGAATTACTGAGTGGATGGGCCCCTGGTCTGTGATGTAAAAAAAAAACCCCACGCATTTGGTGAGAGGACCTTCACCGAAGCCACTTTCAAATGAGGCTCAGCCAAGGACTACAGCGTTTCCCCGCTGCTTTCTCCTCCTTACTTGCATTTATTGTCACCCACATGACCCTGGGGAGTTATTAGCAGAATTAGTGCCATTTCCGTTGGGATTCCGGATACACCTTATTGTGTGTTTGTAATTTGCCTGTGAAAAAATTGATGGCTTCTAAGTCTTCTACGGGTGAGATTTTGTGGACTTCTACACAGATTTTGTGGCATCCCCTTCCGCCCTCATCACTCAAGTGCTGGAAATGCCTCTCTTTGTTAAGTGTTCTTAGGCGGCCATAATGTATCTTGCCCAGGATAGATTGTTTTTATGAGAAATTGTTCTCTACCTTCTTGGCTTTACGGGTGTTCCCAGGACAACAGACCAAGCAGACATTTCAATAGACTTAATACTAAACCCGCTGCTCATTAGGCCCGGGAAACCGGGTGCCGTCACTGGGCCCCCAGATTTATCTCTGATGCATGTTACTGACAGCTTCAGGCCCTTCAGGTATGATGTCAAATGACACAGTTGGGTGGACAGAATTTACTTTCACAAAAGCCACTTTTTTCTTCCTTGTTAGCGTCAAAAAGGGAACACTGCATGGTGGAGGCTGGCGACAATAGGCTGGTGGGAAAGAAACTCAGTGTCCAGAAAAATGACACCCTGGCATGAGGCAGAACAGGCAAGCAAAGTGGACGGGTTCGTTCTCTTTAAAATAGGTGCCTCCTAGTACGGGAGCACTTGACCACCTGCTGTTTAAAGTTCCCATGTTCAACTCCAAAAGCAGTTTTGCAACCATAATTTATTTGTGGTATCAGTGTCCAGCCGGTGTTTATTGAAACCAAAAATAGAAAATGAGCTCGTGGGCTATCGGGCGTCACCAGATTGGTTCTTGTCAGGTCACAGAATGAAACCTATACATGCCACCACCACCACCCCCCCAACCCCGCACGCCCTCGGGGTCCCGGGCTGCAGGAGTGATTGACTATTTGGTTTTTCTATTGTTAGCAGCAGGGAGGACACGCTGGTGCTGGCTGGATTCTGAAACGGGCATTAGTGACTTGAGCCTCCTTTCGGACAGCTCAGGGGTGAGAGGACAAGCAAGAGAGTTTACCTTTCCAAAGGGATCCGTTTCACAGCACGCAGCACAGCGCCGCAGGCCTTGGAGCTGTAATCCAAGCAAAGGGGACCCGTCTTGACGTGCATCACCCTAATAGAAACCCCAGCGCCTTAGGGAACTGCCTCCCTCTGAAATGGTGAGAAGTGGAACAAAACCTCTCATTTTATTTTCTGTTTCAGACGTGCGCGCCCCTTTTACGGCTGAGGACTCTGCTGTTTTTAAGTGAGGCCATCCTAAGGCTACAGCTCATGCAGACGTAAGGGGGTCCCTAAAAGCTTTAAAACTTTGCAGGAGAGAGAGAAGAAGATGGAGAGAGTCACACACACATG